TACATTACTTACCTTTTTCTGCTGCTGATTTGCTCCATGGTAAAACTAGCTGCCTTCACTTCCCTGGCTCATAATTATGAGATGTTCTTTCTCAAGTTCTTCTAATAATTAAGCTATATTGTATGGTAACAATTACAGACACTAACTGGTCAGATAACGCAGGCTGCGGGTGCAGTTTGCTTTGTTCTGGTTGCAACTCTGTAAATGGCAGGTAGCCTTTCTCCAGACTCAGTTACTGAGTGAGAACTGTTGCAGAAGTGTTGCTCAAATACGGTGTGGAACTCAAACTGTCTAGCCAATGTTAGGTGCAGCTGGCTTTGTGCAGAGCTGTTTTGGGGGTTTGGTCTGCTCTGCGGGAACGGGGACCCTGGGAATGTGAGGTGTAGCTGGCTGAGTGGGTCTGCACCAGCTTCCCAATGCGTGCTCACTCCAGCTTTATTCAGCCCAAGCCAAACCTATGTTGAGCCATTGCCTCTGCTGGTACTTGTGGTGGTCCTATTTGTGGATGGTTCATAAGCGGAGCCACGCGTGGAGCCTGCTTCAGCCTGATGTTGCACCTGAGGTAATAAGCAGTGGGAAGAGAGGGGAATGTTCAGGCATTTGGTGACTGTGGGGAGCAGCTCGGGCCTAGTTTAGGCAGCCTGAGCTGATTGTGGGATACTGAATGTGGCCGTGTGCTGTTTTCCCGGGCCCTGTAGGAAGATTTCCTTAGGTGAAGCTTGTGCTGAAATTAACTGACTTACTATGGCACAGAATAGCACATCCTTAAAGCCGAAGTACAGGGAGTGAAAGCCCCACATGCTGTTGTGTTGCAGCACTACCCTGGGTGAAGTGCGGAGCCGGACTCTCAGGCGGCTCACTGCGAGGGCGCGGGGGCACTTGTGCTGGACTTCTACTTCTCTTGTAGGAGCTTCTGATCCCCCAGCTAACGGAGAGGTGGCAGTCACTAGCTGGAAGAGATGACTACAAGGGATTTCTTCATTAATAAAGAGAAATCTTTGTAATTTATCTTAAATTATGTGAATTAGGAAATCGTATATAAATTACAAGGAAATGTAAATATGAATTTGCATAACGTGCATTGTTTGCACTGAAGAAGTTACGAACAAAAGACAAAGTAAGAGGTATCAGGCAATATGAATGATTGATGTTACAATACAACATTTGTTTTTCTTGCAATGTGATGGTAACTCAATTCAATCTGCTTAGAGCCCACTATTCATAAATAAAATAAGAATTAATAGGCTTTAGCCAGAATCTATATGCTATTCAAACGGAATAATCCTAATGCTCCCAGATAGACAACAGATTCTGATAACATCTTTTAATCCTGCTGCAACCTGAGCTTTGTGGCTGGCCTTTGTGTTTTTTCTTATAGCTTCAGTTAATTTCTAGTTTGTTCTCTCTTTAAAAAAAATTTAAATTCCAAGTTTTCAGGGGTTTTGTCTTTTGTGCTTTTAAAAAAATACTTCCATCTGTTTTAAGACGACAAATGAGATAACCCTGTTATACTGGGTTTTGGATACATTTAGTTGCTGTGGTAGCAACTGCCTCAAAACATAATCATGTATGGAAAGTGAGGGTTAAGGCAGAGAAACACTGGGAATACATCAGTATTTTTGCAGTCTTGTCTACAGTTCCAAAGGCATTGCATAGTAGCTGTGTCCAAAGATCCTTGGCTGCACAATTTTATATTTATAGAACATCGCTGCATCATCAAAACCAGCCTTATTTGGAACTTAATTTTTAAAATTAGACACGTTTTTGTTAACTATTTGATACAAACAGTAAGTGAATGACTATAATTCTCAAAAGTGTATGCTTGCAACTCCTTGTTGCTATTTTTGAAGAATTTCCTTCAGAGGCCGTTTTCATAAGCAGCACGAATTTAGGTTTCCTTAATGGCCACTGGATGTCACTGTTTCTCCACAAAAGTGGTATTTTGTAACTACCGTTGGATTTCATATTTTGCTGCTATTTGATTGTCAGTGGAGCATTCCTTCAGGCTGTAATCCTGCAGAAAGGGATACATCAAGTAGAAAGATACTTCCATTTAAGGAATAAGAGAAGTAGATGGTTCCTTCAAAGGCCTGAGAAGTGTATAGATAGGAGCCTTTAAATATTATGATGCAAGTCTAGTAGTTACAGAAATACTGTCATGTAAATTAATTGAGTCCCCAGGGCTATCAGACAAGTTCTGACAAGGAATTGTATTTAAGAATATTTGGATTTTAGATTGGGCACTGGCTGATGTCTCTAGAGGTATAGGATTCCATCTGTGCAGCTATAACAAATGAAGCTGCTAAAATTCATCCCTTCAATGTGGGTTTTACATAAGTTGCAGGAGAAAAAAAGTCTGGCCTTGCAAAAATACTTGATATTTTCCCAAATGTGAAAGTGCACCTTTAAAAGAAAGAGTTTTCTCTTTTAGCTGTGGCCTTCATGAGGTTTGAACGAAGCGCTGGCCTACCTGTTGTTCTGGAGAAAATGTTCATGGTCCACCCTTGCATGCTGTTACTACAGGCTTCCCTCCTCCTGTGAAGATGATTTTGAGCTGCTACCCCTTACAGTGGCTACAGATCAATGCTGTAATTAAATTACAGACACATGTAAGTGACTTTGATCTTCTATTTACAGCATACAGAAAACGTGATATTAATCATAAGAGTATTACATTTTTCAGTATTTGGTAAAAATGAGCACTTAGATGAACAGAGAATACATATTTTAGGAAATGTGCTTGTTTCCATTGTTTTGGAAAGCCATCTTCTTCATGCTTCCTTTTGCCTTCTCTTCCAGCAGGTTCCAGCCATTGCTTTTCCTGCCATGAATTATTGTGCTTCTTCATATATGGTCTATAATTATATCATAATTATAATTATGAAAATATTTGATAATATTATGAAATGAAAATTATTGATTTGACTTAAAATTTCACTTAGTTAAGAGTTTGACATCTCTTTTCCCAGATTTAATGTTTCCACAGAGTGTGTCTCTCCTGTCAGGCTGAACTTAGTGCCATCAGACACATTTTCATCAGCAAAATAAGCACTGAGTAATTGCAAGATTCCTCCTTGTTCCCCCAAATAAAAGCCTCAAAAGGCAAGAGGATCACATGATCCTTTTGAAAACTCAGGCTGGCAGATAGGCGAAATTAAATTACCACTTTTATTCTCCCTGCATGCTGCTTTGGTTGGCTTTCTCCTGATTCCTAATAGCTATCAGGATTTTAAATTTTGGTGGCAAGATGCTTGTTAAGCATCATAACCAGCTCAGCTGGCTAGTGCACAGCAGTGACATAATCCCATTACTGACCTCGGAACGCTGTTACTAGCAAGTGCACATTTGGGCTGATCTTGTATTTTTTTCTGCCTTGCTTCTCCCTTCTCTGAAATGGAAGTGCAAGTGTTTACCCTGGTGTACTCTCTGGGAAAGCATGTGCGCATGCGTGTACGCGTACCAGTGTTTCTGTGTTCCCCCAGCAGCTCCATGTTTCTGTTTTGCTGTGGTGACCTCTCAGCTGGCAGTGATTCCTTTCCCAGCAAGCTGCATATTCTCCTTCCTCTGTGTAAGCTATTAAAACCAGATGTGCATAAAGAACTCTGTTATGATGCGCTTTTGTGGACTGATTTCATTCCTTGGCTAGAATGGTGGGCTGACTCCCATGAAAGCTGGAGGAAAAGCCCAAGAGGATTTAAACCCGTAAGTCTGAGCTAAACTCCCCAGCCTGAGTCTATGTCTGTTGATATCACAGTAAATTAAGTGTAACACAACGAAAGCAAACTGAACTACATCAGCGCAAGGCTGGAAGGAGGCAGAGGAGAGATGAGATCTGGTATTACATTTATCTGCATATATTTGTTCTTTATAGGCTATTCTGTGGGTCCTAATAAATCATTAAGCCTGGAAAGAATAAGTAGCTTTGCGTTGTTCCTGGATCGGCTTGGATTTTGAAACATGGGAATCTGAGAAATAAGCTTGTGATCTCATGCACAACCATGAAAGAGGAAAAGGCACCCTGCCATTTAATGGGTGTATTTATAGGAAGGTCATCTCTCAGCCTGCATCTGACTTAAAGTAGGAGCCACCTGGGAATATTTCTATGGGTGATGGCCGCATTCCAGGAAGCCCCACATCATCCTGCAGTCGTGTCAGATGAGGATTGCTTTAGGCAGCAACATTGTGCTGGGGAAGGCTATTGAGACTCTGGGTGCTAAATGTCATTTGGCATTGATGCTGTGGGAAATAATGATCACGCTGTCTCCTCGGGCCTCAGTTCTGTTAGGAGCGGGAGAGAAAAAACTGACACACGTGATGTGGGCTGGTGTCCTCTGTTTCCCAGGGGTCCTATTTTGTGAGTGACAAGTGAAGGGGTATTAGCATGCATGCATGGTCTCAACTACATCAGTTGTAGGGATGGTCAGTCTGTGTTCGCAGAACTCCAAGCCTCTCCAAGATTTGCACTTCTTTGGAGAACCAGCCCATTCAGAAATGGGCACTAGTGGCAAATTAAGTAACCAGTGGCTGAAGTGTTTGGAACTGGGGCTGCTTGGTGTAGTCTCCTGTGCTTGTGATGAGCAGCTGACACTGTGTACTTCGTAGGGTAACGTTCTGGCTACTTTATTTTCTCATACGGTTTGCGCTGCCTCGTAACTGGGGGGTGTGAAGTGTGAGGAGAAGTGGCTTCCACAGAAACAGTTGACCTCAGATGTTTTGATGCATACTCGCTTGTCCTGGGGCTAACTGAGGGAGCCTTGTGACAAACCTCACAACTAAACCACGGGCCCTAGCACTGTCAGGGTCAAATCAGCTGTCTCCCTTGAGATCTGATCTATTGTTGAAAGCCACGAGATGTCGCCTCTATATGTGCAGGCAGGGGTTAAGCATTGTGAATTTGCAATAGCCAGCCAGCTTTCCCATATAAGAGCACTGCACTCATTGGCTCTCTCTTTTACTGAGAAATCTATCTAGTCATTTCCTGTGCAAGCCGCCTTCACTTTGCAAAAAGCTATACAGTTGAGTAAATTACAATAATCTGTGGTTATTCCTTCTCACAGGCAGCCTGGATTCTCTCATGGACCACCACCAACTGGGAGTTCAACGTTGTGTCGTTAACAGTGTGCTAATATGAGTGTGGTCTTCTCTACAGAAGAAGAGGACTCTCACCCATGGATGTAAATAATTTGAGGTCTGCTTTCATGCTTATTAACACTTGTTAGGATTTGACTTGATTTCTACTGAGAGATTATTTACCCTCTGAAGGATCCGTTGAGACTCCCTTGTCAGATCAGTTCTTGGGTGGAGCTTGCAGCAACTTGGGGTAAGTGCTGTGCTCTTCCTCTTTTGACAGCAGAGCTTTTTTGTGCTGCGCTACTTAAAATGGCTTGGTAAAGTTGCAGAAAGGAACAACTCAGCTCTTGAGTTGAGAAGTGAAAGTTGAGCTGGCAAACAGAGTACTCTCTGTGTTTCCTGAGGAAGCACAAAGTGGATGTATATATTATAGGGTCTTGTATTTTTAGGACAATTTTGCTCTTGCTTTTAAACCAGACAGTCTGTCTGTACAAGACTGACAATAAATAACTCTCTCGAGCGCTGTGGAGAGATGGAAACTGCAGCTGAGAAATGATTTTGGGGAAAGGAAGACAGAAAAGCACAAGCAAACTATTACGGAAGTACAAATAGCCCTCTAAAGGATCGGCAAATGTACCAGTAAGTGTTTTGGGGGAGGAAATAAGTCTGAAATGGCATTATAGGGTGTATGCCTGTGTATGCAGAGGAATGTTTGTCATTAGAGTGCAGACTAAACTGAGTGGCTGAATTATCATAATGGTTTGTCTTGAAATCAGCCCTTGGATTTCTTGCTGTGAGCTGCATAAAGATGTTTTGTGGCTGTTTTCTGCCTAGAACTATGTTTCTCCACATCCTAACCTAAGCCAGAATGCTTATGCTCTGTCAATTTACCTCTTTGCTGGTACAGGCTATGGAGTCTGGCTGTAGTCCCAGCAAGGGAGATTTCTCTTCAGAGAAAACCTGTTAACCATTTGGAGGGAGTACATGTGAATAAGACGGAGTTATTAAAAAAAGCTCTGCTTCAGGTTGGTAATCATGGATGTTTCCTCGCTGGCTCACAAACTGTGCATGAATCTGCAGTCATATGCTGACTACAGCTAGCTTGCATTGGGTGTGGATCTGAGATGTATCCAGATATATATGAAGAGATGCCTCAAAAGAGTAAAAAAAAGGGTACAGGACATATTAGATGAGAGAAGTGGGCTGGCTGGGTGCTCTGAATACTGATGCTCTCTGTACAGCAGATCTGTATCCAGCTTTGCTCTTGGGAGAGCTGTGCTGTGCTCAGGCTCTGAGGGCTGCGAGTGTCCATATGGCAGCTGGGGTGTGTGTTTGCCTGTGCTGTGGAGCTGGAAGTTCAAAGCCTGTGCCCGCATGGATAGCCAGCAGCTCCAAACACTGGGGAGATCCCACTCATTTTGCCCCAGGATGAAACGCGACAATGCATGAGCATAATTTGTGCATATGTTTTCCCTGTAGAAATACTGTCGTTCTTACCAACAGAGAACATGACAAACTTATCACTCTGTTCCAAAGAAGGCCTACAGTTAATCTTATCTTTTTGGCCACTTGGTGACTAGCCTGTGTTGGCTGCACTGAGACAAGAACAATAATCGTAGTCTCCTAAAGAGCCACTTTCTTTGCCTTTTATGTAAGGACCTTGTGCTGCTGCCAACAGGTGAGGTCATCTCACAAAGGGGGTTCGGATGTTCTGCAGACAAGTTGCCTGTATTCCATTAACTGCTTTTGAACTTCTCCAGAGGTACCCTATTTAAGGCCTCAATCCTTTATTCAAATACTCCCACTGTGCAGAGTTTTAGTGAATCTCTCTCTCAAGGGACCCATAGTCAACTGTAGGAACGCTGGACCTGGAAACATGCTTTCTTCTACATGCGTGCCACACCATACACGTTCTAGGTTTGTGAACAAATTGTGTTAATTCTCCCTTTCCCTCGCAGGTTTAGTCTCCCAGTGGGGAACATCTTTGGTGATCTGTAAGACCATCTCTACTAGAAATGGACAACTTCACAAATGGGCAGCCGGGCCCAGGTCAGAGGAACAGGTTGATAGAATTGCTGGAAACAGATGACAGTATCCAGGATGATAAACCTGCATCTAGTAAAAACAAAGAAAGATCAGGGCTACATGGAAAGAAAGGAGAGCCACGGCCCTTTGAGACACCTTATCAGAAGGAGAGCAGTAACTTTCCTCCTAAAGTCAAGATTAATCTGAACTATCGGCCAGGACTCGTCAGCAAGTGAGTAACTTTGATGTTTGACAAGGGTGGGATCCCTGTTGATCTGTACTGATACCTGCTGGTAGGAGCCTATAGACTTTACCAAAGTCTAAACTAGAAGTGACAATACAGGAATATTACAGGAATCTGATGGGAGGTAGTTAAAGGCAGAAAGGAGACATATTAGCCCTTTTCTTTTGCACTTGGAAGGTATGTGTATGGTGTGTGTTGTGGTGTATTTTGGGTATAATTGAACTAGCACCAAATAAGCCAAATTGGGTGTAAGAGCAGCTTAGCATGGAGCCCTATACAACTGAACTGTTCTTGCCAGGGAGGGATGTAAACTAGCTCACGGAGTACTTCACACCATGTGATGGGACTGATTCTGGTCCTGCAGCTATCTTGGGCTTTTCTTTGTGCTCTGGATGCGTTCCAGGGTTGCACATCAGACAGGATCTGGGAAGAGTTCCAGCTGATGGAAAGAGCAGCCACTTAAGAGGATTCTGGGAAATAACTGTCTCTATTTTTCCCTTGATTCAAAAATAAAATACTTGTTTTTTCTGACAAACTTTTCTGCCTCCCTTCTTTCTTACACCGTCCCACTAGAACATATCGCACGCTCTTGTCTTCCACTCTCCAGAACTTCTTAACGCTTTGCATTTCTTCCGTAGCCAAAAGGACCCCAATCGCTTTGACAGAGACAGGCTCTTCAGCGCAGTCTCAAGGGGCAGCCCCGAGGCACTGGATGGTTTACTTGAGTACTTAAGGAGGACCTCCAAATTTCTCACCAATTCTGAATACACAGGTAGATTCCTGCTCAGTACACCATAAACAGGGTTAGCAGAGGCAGTGCTTGTTAATGTAGGAGGGAAGCAGGGGAACCTGCTCGTGATTCTTTGCTTTCTCCAGCCCTCTGTCCATTCTTTTATTTTCCTAATGTCCACCTGAGGATGGAGAATGCCATTAATTATATATATCCTAAAGTTTTTGCCTCTACTGCAGACTAAAAATACTGAGAAAGGCCTTTACAATAATTATTGTATTTGGTCCTACAGTGACACTTAAGTTCTGAATCAAGTAATACAGATGTGTGCAAAGTACATGCGCAATTCATTCAATACTCTTTTTCTACTAGATGCAAAGACTGGGAAGACCTGCTTAATGAAAGCCCTGTTGAACTTAAAAAATGGAAAGAATGACACAATCCCACTTTTGCTGGAAATAGACCAAAAGACACAGAATCCCAGGCCACTTGTCAATGTGGCATGCTCTGATTGTTACTACAGAGGTAAGATTTCTGTTGTGATGCTGTGTCAGAGCAGGCTCCCCATTAGACAGATGAGATGTGCAGATACAAGGAAGAAGAGGGGAACTGGAGCTTATGCAGCACTGCAGTTCCAGAGTTCTGGTGCAGTTACAGTAACAGCCTACTCACCTTTTAGTTCTGATTTCTGATTCTGGTCTGCATCCTCTTCAGCCCTGAATGATACACTTCACTTCTGCAACTTTATTCTGAGTCCTTAAAACAGAAATGATAGATGTTTAGTAACCCAGCAATAAGAGAGGATTTGCTTTGGAAAGCTTAAAAAGCATGTCTAAAAAGAAATAGTATATCACTACTAAAGAATAGTGGATTGGGTTATCCTTTTAAAAGCAGACATGCAGCATAGTCATGTACGTCTCTCGTTGTCTTTATCCTGTCATTGCTGCTTGGGGTCTTAGTGCCAGGCAGGGGTAATTGCCTGGTCTTCTGTTGAATTTCTGATAGTCTTGGGGCTTGTCTTCTGACTTAGTGTTTCCAACGTGCTTTTCCAATGAACATTGTTGAAAGTTGTCAGTTGCCACCCACCCTCTGCCTAGCACTGAGACTGCAGGATTGCTATGCAGAACATACAGCGATTGTTGAAACAGTTCTTTGCTTGAAGAGTCCTTTGCCTGTTCCCTCTGATAATGGTACTGTGATAGGTTTTGCCTGTTTCCTTAGGCCAGACAGCACTCCATATTGCCATAGAGAAAAGGAGCCTAGATTTAGTGAAACTTCTAGTAGAGAATGGAGCTGATGTCCATGCCAGAGCCCATGGTGAATTCTTCAAGAAGAAGAAAGAAGGAGTTTACTTTTATTTTGGTGAGTCAGTGCGGAACACGTTCCTTCACTTTTTTTATTGCCTTACTGTATGCGATGCTGCTAATTCTAGTTGGGTTTGCCACTCTCTACATGGGTTGCCATCTCCACTGTCCTGTAATCAAGCTCTTGATTTATTTGAATGGCAGGATCCTTTCACAGACTGAGGTGTCCAGTGAGCATTTGCAATCATCTTTGGTTTTATGTATTTAATTCTATCTGAGGGGCTTGAGACAGAGACAAATACTTCATTAGTTTAGCCAAATTAGGGGTCTGGGAAAGTGTTTCAGCTGCCCCCAGAAATAAGGAGTAATTGTTTACTGCAAAACCCTTTCTGAATCTAGAGACACTGAGAAAGAACTTCTTTGTGTTCCAGTGGCAAAACTATAGGCTAAATATATTTTCATAGAAATGCTTTTTTTTCTTTTTTTTTTTTTTCATCCCTTTCTGCTTCCCCTCCAAATACTGTCCTAATCTCTTCAGGTGAACTTCCCCTCTCCTTGGCTGCTTGTACCAACCAGCTTGAGGTGGTGGAATATCTTCTAAACAATCCCCACCAGAAAGCCAGGCTCCAGGAGCAGGATACACAGGGCAACACCGTCCTCCATGCCCTGGTGATGATTGCAGATGACACTGAGGAGAATACTAAGTTTGTGAGCACAACATACGTTGAGATCTTGAAGGCAGGTGTGAAGGCTGACCCAACGTGGAAACTGGAGGAGATAGTGAATTATGATGGACTAAATCCTCTACAGCTTGCTGCCAAGACAGGCAAAGTGGAGGTAAAGACAACCGGAGGGAACCCCTGGGTTGCTGGGAAACAAGGAAGACTGCAGCATATATCCTCAGCACAGCAGTGGGGTTTGATGTAGGAGCATCTTGCACTGAACCCGTAGTAATGCTGCTGACAGTAGCAGTGTCACAGGAGACAATAAAGGAGGCCTCCTTCAGGCCACTCCAGTTAGTGTCCTACAGAGTCTCAGCTGGCTGCTGCTGCTCTCTGTCCCAGCCAAGACAGCTGGTCTAGACTGAAATTGGTTCTACTCCTGGAAGAGCTGATACAAAGTGTAGTTAGATTGCCTGCTTTTAGCTAGATAGTCTGGTGTTTGGATATATCAAAGTGTATAATGCAGAAAGCCAGGTGTCCTGTATTTGAAGGTGATTTGGGTGTGCTTGTGTCATTCTACGCCTTCATGACATACATGTTTTTCTGGTTTCTCTTCAGATCTTCAAACACATCATCCAAAGAGAGATCAAAGACCCAGTGTACAGGCACCTGTCACGCAAGTTCACTGAATGGACCTATGGACCTATCCATGTGTCCCTCTATGACTTGTCATCTTTAGACAGCTTTGAGGAAAATTCTGTGCTGGAGATTCTGGCATACAGCAGTGACACACCGGTGAGTGCTTTTACTAAAAGGCAAAGACAGCAACATTTTTTCTGCCTTTCTATAGTGTTGCTGTATAATTATACAAATCATTTCAAGTTAATGTGGTATTTCACATGATCATTTTTCTGGGAAAGAAACGCATGATGGAACTATATGCATATTTTATTATTTATAGTCTGCTTGGTATGCCTCTGATAATCTATAATATGAGAGAAATTTTTGATCCTTTGGTTATCCTAAGCCTGGGTGTGTCCAAATACCTTGATGAAGCCAAGCAGAAGTAACTTCTTATGGGATGGTTGATTTCTTTCATACTGAAAGGGATTACCTAAGGGATACCCTAACTGGAGCCACTGGACTCCAACCCTGAAAAAGACAATCCTCTGGTGAATTTTCATTCCTGTTGACACATGGGTACATTTTTGTTGGTTTTTTTTTTCCACAGAATCGGTACAAGATGGTGGTTTTGGAGCCACTGAACAAACTGCTTCAGCAAAAATGGGAAACGTTCGCTTCCAAGAGATTCTATTTTAGTTTTGTCTCATACCTGTCATTCATGATCATCTTTACAGTCATTGCATACTATCAACCCTTACGGGTAAAGGTAGGACCAATCTTCTTTTATCTGTAAAGACCTGAATGGATGGAGCCGAGTTTTAAAAGGCGCAGGGTGGTTATCATCACTACCTCTGCCTGTCTTCAGTGTTTTGGGTTTTTTTGTTTTCATCTTGCAGCCTTCATTTCCAGTGGAGTTCACGGCTGGAGGCTTCCTGTGGGTCTCTGGACTGATCATTATCTTGCTAGGAGGCATTTATCTGATCTTTGCTCAGGTATGGGGATCTCTCGTCTAGTTTCATTGTAAGAACGAAAAGGAAACCGTCACTGACATGGAGGCAACAGATTTGGTTCTGCTGACATCAGGATGTGCATGAGTGGATGGCAGGAGGGAATCCTGCTCTGAGACACTTACAGTGTCAGAGCGATCTAGCAGTGACAGGGGTGGCACAAGCCAGGTTGCTGGGCAAGAGGAAGAATAGGCTCACAACAGTAAGTAATTATGAGAGACTTCTGTGATTTATGGTACTAAAACACATCCTTGGCATTTAATGCAGTCTATTAATAAAGACACAGGGCTGACCCATGATTCAGCCCTTGTTTATCCTTGCCCTTTATAAATAAGGCCTTTTTTTCATCTTGGATGACTAGCTGAAATTTGGGATCTTGAAAATGAAAGCATGAAGAGGAGCTTATAGAGCAAACCTCTCCCCTGAGCAATAGGCTATGCCGGGCAGGAATCACTCTAGCATGCCCTGTTTTTTTGATGAATGGCTACCATTGATTTTTCTCTATTAGAGTCTGTACTTGCGGAGGAGACGCCAGTCCCTGAAGACTATGTGTTCTGACAGCTGCATTGAGATCTTGATGTATGTCTCTTGAGCTTTTTTGCACAATGAAAGCACGGGTGAAATGGTTCTCTGCTGTGTGCAGCTAAGTTGCGCTAACATTACTAGAGAGATGGTGAGCAGGAAAGATTGATTCTCTGCCACTGTCTCCTCTTTCCATCCCTTCCCTGCTTGCTTCTCCTACCTGCTGCATCTTGTCATAACCCTTTGTTGTAATGGATTTTGCTGGGTAGGGTCTGTCCTTGGATTTGTAGCTGAACATGGTGAAGGTCAAACCCTCAATTATTCCACAGTTAACAACATCTACTTATTAGAAAGGAGCTCAAGTTTTTAATCATACAGTCACTACGGCTCAGATTTGGTCAAAAGGAAAATAACCTCTCAGTTTTCTGAGGAGAAATCTGTTTAGATGCATGTGTGTACATGTATGTGTGCATGTGTTCGTAAGTGTTAAAATTCTTTTCCATTTTATATCAGTTATGTGAGTTACATCAAGCAGTTCAGAGTTTCCATACTGTGAGATTAACCAGTTCATAACAAAACTGCAACAGTTTGTGGGTCTGGTTATAACAGGATTTGCTTATATAAACTATGTGTCTGATTAACTGCCGCTTTACATGCTCCATGTAGCCTCGTAAAATGTGTTTGCTTTTCCCTGCAAAACAGAACAGATCTGTAAATGGGCCTTTTTATTGAGGTAAGTCACTGTGTCACTCATTCTACTTCTCTCCAGCTTCATCCAGGCTTTCTCATTGCTGCTGTCAGCAGTCCTCTATGGTGCAAGTTCAGAAAACTATGTGGCGGTAATGGTGTTCTCCCTGCTTTTGGGATGGGTGAACATGCTGTATTACACTCGGGGCTTTCAACGCACTGGGATCTACAGTGTCATGATACAGAAGGTCAGTACTCAGAAAAAACTTTGTATGAAAAGCTTCTGAGTGTGTGGAACTAGTAGAAGTCCTGCAATTACTTTTCTTCTCTCAGGATCATGAAAACCATAAATGGAATTGATGTACTAACTATGGAAGTAAAGAAATTGCAGAAGGCAATTAGATCAGTGTCTTCAAGGAAGTACAATTGTGGCAAACCACTAGTTTGCCGTGGTTGAATACAGCAAGTGAGAGCAGCTGACACTTACCTGTTTGTCATAAAACAACTCAAAACTAGCAGTCAAAACCAGTGCAAGTTCCCTGGAATTGTTATGCTTGGGCTGCGAAGTGTTTCCAGGTCCATAAAGGAATCTGGGACTAAAAAGGCAAGATAAAGCAGGTGAAACGAGGTGCCAGGGAAGAATTCTGACCACCGTTTGTGTGAAACCAAACGGAGATAGAAAAAAAAGAGATGTGTGTTGAAACAATTTGGAAACAGACATACTGGTGAGCTGGCATGATATTTATTTGTTTCAAAGAACCCATTCCTACAAACATAACAACAAAGAAGTTCACCTAGTACTTTCAGATTAAGCTACTAATGATGTTATTTACCCGAGGAAGTAATTTAACATGTATTAGTAGTTTCTTAAACTGGATAAAAGCATTTTCCAACTTGCTTTCAGTATTGTTACTGGGGGTTGGTTTATGATGTGTGAGAACAGGAGATCATCACTTCCTCCTGATTTGTGTTTCAGACTATCCTGAAAGATCTGCTGCGTTTCCTCTTGGTGTATATGATCTTCCTCTTTGGCTTTGCTGCAGGTAAGGACTTGCTCAGCATTATGTTATAGGTTGGGCTGCAAGAAGTAAATTTTTCTGAGGAGGATTCAAATTCTCTTTTTCCCATAGCTCTGGTTACGCTGATGGGGGATGCTCCTTCGGTCTCTCAGAACAAGTCCCTTGCTCAGATGGAGAGCACTGGGAGCCATGCTATGTACGGTGGGCTGCTTAGCGTCTCCCTGGAGCTCTTCAAGATCACCATTGGGATGGGCGACCTGGAGTTCCAGGAACATGCCAGATTCAGATACTTTGTCATGCTCCTGCTGCTTCTCTTTGTGATCCTCACTTACATTCTTTTGCTCAACATGCTGATTGCGCTCATGAGTGAGACTGTCACGGATATTTCTGGTTATAGCAAAAACGTCTGGAAACTGCAGGTGAGACATGGTGCTGCCCAGCAGGTATGTTGTGGCCCAAACTCCTACTGGAGTCTCATAACATCAGAGATGACAGTGACTGTCTTTGTCCTAAGCCTCAGCTATAAACTTCTCTTTTACATAAATTTGCCACTCTGGGGTAAATCCTAAAATCATTTTTAGATGTATTTAAAACTCAGGCTGTTTGCATGGCTACCAGCCAGTCCAGATCCATGTGCCTAAGTAACTTGAGAGAATAAGTAACTGACTGGTACTATTAAGCTGAGGAGCACTTTGGGATTGAGTTTCAAAGTGATTTTCTAAGTCAAAGTAATTGCTGATTGGGGAAGATTTAATCAAAGAGAGGGGCTGGGCTCTGTATGCCCTGTTTTCTCTCTGACATGGACTTCTTGTTTCAGAGGGCTATTGCTATTCTAGAAATAGAGAAGGCCTGGCTGTGGCGCCAAGGTGGGAAGAGGAGATCTGGCTGCTTCATGTCAGTGGGCCTCAATAAGAAAGATGAGAGATGGTGTTTCAGGTAAGACAGATGTACCATTACCTCTTACACTCCAGCCTAGTAACGGGTTCCCATGATTCATAAGCTGGTAGCCCTGAACTGCTGCAGGGAGTTTCAGCACTGACTCAATGGAGTGACTCAACCACATGTTCCTGGCTACATGCAAATTGGTTGGTGATTGCAATGCTGGAAGTTTGAGGGCTAGTTGAGCCGCCAGCATTGTCACCAAGGCATGCTGTCACCGAAAGATGTCCTGTTTAACCCACATCTGTGCGAGTGGTTATGGTGGCAGGGTGTCTGCAATGATGCTTTCTTTGCTGCTGCGAATATAGCTGTGCCCAGAGCAGGCTGTGGTGGGAGGGATGCAGGCTGGTGGCCCCGTCGCTCAGGAGCATGCAACTTGAGGGCAACACGAGGGGGCAGCACTCTTCCTCGCATATAGGGGCTGGGAGAGCAGAGGAACCTTTCTCCACCCAGCGAACCGAACTGCGGGCAGCAGTTCTGTAACTCCAGGATGTTATGGGCTATGGAGCATGTATAGAAAGTGGTCTTCCCCTTTGTCTTAAGTATGTTCCCTGGGAGGAATTGGAGTATTTCAAAACAAACAACATAGACCAGCACACAATATGCAGGGAAGAAGATATTTACCCTGTGGATCTTGGATAACCGAAGATCTTCACTCAAAAAAACCTCTGTAAGGTGTTGTTGCTACAGCCAAACCATTAGGATTGTGTTGGCAGGATAAGCTGGGTTGGGATGCTGCGGGACAATGAGATATGGACCGAAATGCTGTATTGCATGCATCAGTGTCTGTTGCATTTTCTCTCTCCAGAGTAGAGGAAATTAAATGGACAAATTGGGCAAAGGATGTGGGAGTTCTTAAGGAAGACCCTGGAAACACCAGTGATTCAGAAATAAATCCAGAAGGTAAATTAAATCATGAAGAAAGGGCTTCAGTATCTTTTTAGCTTCCTGCTCAGCAATACTCTTGGAATGTTATTATGTCTTTGGTAACAGTAATTTTAGGTAGGCCAGCTTGCCCAGAAATTGCTTCCACACACCATCCCTCAATAGTAGCAGCATCACTTGTGAGCTGAGAAAATAAAGAATTAGAGTAGGTATGGACCTGGTCAGAGTTTGGGAACAAATGATGAGAATGAAGGAGATGCCATTGCTACTTACCTCTGGTAGAAATGGGCAGGAAATGCTGCTGAGAAAAGCAAGGGCTGATCTTCCCTTTGACTCACCAGCCCAAATGCATGGTGCTTTTTGTAGTGAAAGGTAAAATTTAGGCCCACTCATTCTGCAAGTGTTAAAATCACAGGGCTTTTATAGCACAAATCAGGGCATTAACACTGGCAGCTTTGTCAAATTCTGCCTAAGATAATTATGTTTACTTCCCATGTTACACCTGGGAAGCAACTCTGTGTGGAAAATGGAGAGCTGTTACTTTTTCTAGAAATATTTTGTTCAGCCTGGCAGAACTTGGGCAGAAGCTCCCCCGGATTTAAACATGTCCCCCTGCTCTTCCAGCATAGGTTCTTCCTAGATGCCAGTTTTCTAGGAGTGGGGAGGTTGCAACACTTAAAATACTATCTGTTGTATGTTGGGTTTTCCCTAAACCTGTGCTTTTCTAAAAACTGGATCCCTTTGTCAGCTTCCTGCTGTTGACAAAGGCCTGCTGTTTTTATGTCTCCTGCTATAGAGACAAGTTCACGGAAACGGATGCCACAGAAACAACTGAGATCAGCTGTTTCAGAGGAGCAGTCACTATTGCAGCCCTCAGCAACTGAGATGATGCCTTTAGAGGGACAAACCAGAAATCTTTAGCAGATTTTCTGAATTGCAACCTTGCTTCCAACTTCAAAGGAGTAGTTCTTCCTATAGCGGCTGGAAGAATTGAAGGCATTATGAGAAGTAAAGTGCATTTCATCAAAGACTGTGGTTCAGCCTGTGGCTTTAAATATTTTCATGCACTTTAATCATTAATTTCCTCTGAAGAAACTATTTTTACTCAACTTTCTCTGCCTGACGCTTTCTGATTACTACATCTAAAGGTGCAAGAGCAAGATCATAGGGGCAGTGGGGAGTGGTCTTTGGGAGGGCGGTGCTTTCTGATCTGTATAGAAATAATGCTGTTTGCCATAGACAAGCAAAGATAGGAGTGACCTATCTAAGAATGGGTTAATTGTTATTTTTTTGGCACAAGAGACTGCACTGAAGTGCTTTGGAATAAAGAGTGTTGTGAGACATGCGTGGACAAATACTCAGTCTTCAGTCATCAAGAGCCATACTGAGTCTTTGTGTCAGTGCCTGCAGTGCTCGGTGTTTAGCCCACATCAGAATTCCCATTTTACAGTATTATAATGAAATCGTTTGCACGATGGGCGCATTTGCTTAAGAGCACAAAAGTGATGTGGATTTCCTGGACCTTCACGTGGTGAATTTCTGAAACATCTGTCTTTCACAGGTTGTTTTGTCTCTGAAGAAAACAGCAGCAGAATCCTGCACACGGCTTCTGAGAGACAGACGGGCCAAAATGCATCAGTTTATATTTTCTGTCAGTCTTAGTGGGTGTCCTGTCTTGCTGTAAATGATTACAAGGACTTCATTGCTTTTTGTAATGTGCACACTGCCTCAGGCAGGATGGAAAACATACTTTAAACTCTGTGGAAAAGAGATAAAAATGAGCTGTCTCACTTTCAGCCTATATTTAAAAATAATAACATGTATTTCTGTAAACTATCACTACAGCAAGTTTACTTAATAGAAAATGTTCATCCTTGGATGTATTTTCAGAGCTTCAGGCTCTCTCAAAAAGGAAGAGAAAATGTGATCAGTGTGGACTATAAGGCCTTACCAAATTCCTGATTACCTTTCACCCAGTACTGTGCTGACCTCACTGCCATGCGTGTGAACTCTTGTTTTCCATGACCTCATGTCAGTTTATGCAGCCACATCTGAAGCTGTAACAGCTGACCTTGCATTGGATGCATCTTTCATAGAGGGAATGGCTAGTGATAACCCTGAAAAAGCTGCAGACTACAAGTGTTGGTAGCACCCTACATTCAGTAAGATAAACTATGCAACTCAAGATCTCCTGTCTCTCATTTCTACTCCGAGCAAGTGAAGCGAGGAGGTTTGTCTTTTGGAGACAACCATCCTAATCCTCACTTTGCTTACTACATGCACGGGACTGGCAGCAAAAGCATTGCTTTTAGAACTTATTCCCTGTCACTTCAGATGGGTTCTTCCCCTGTCTTGGGCAATTCCCTCTGCAGCTTCACTGCATTGGGTATCTGAATTGTAACTAACTTTTCTTACTCTAGCTTTTGCTGTTTTCTTGCTTTCTGAAGCCTTCAGCTGCTTTTTCCATCTATGGCTTTGTCCTAAGTGTTCCCAAGATTTGGCAAGGTGCTCATATTGCACAAAAGGATCGTCTGGCATATGGTGATCTATTGCTGTGCTTGGTGCTTTGCTGTGGTAGACAAACTTTGAGATTCTCAGGAAATGCAGAATCTGATCTGCCATCCCTGCCTGGAGTCTTAATAAACAACGAAAGTGAAATCTTGCTTATTGGTAGTGTTTTTGATAGCTGTGGGCTGTGACAGCTTGCTTTCAAGATAACCTGCCTATTCAGCCGTTCCTTGAGCCCACTTCTCTTTAAATCCCTTTCTTAAGCTTGCAGTGTTAGTTTATCCTTTGATCTGCGTCAAAAATGTTCTTAAACATCTAGTGTCTGCTGTGAAACAGGACCTTGGCATTTCTTGTGCTTCACAGTCATGCCACAGACCACCAGGCCCAGCCCTCTCAAGCTCATGAATGGAGGATGATGGACAGCAGACAGGGACAGGCATGTGCAGCAAGCAGATATGTCAGGTTGGTCAGAAGATTTAGCAGTGCCCAGGCTGTTGTACAGTTCTTCAACGTGCTATGGAAAAAAGGAGATTTTTCAGGAACTACAACCTCTCTGCAGTGAGAGGTGAGTCAGCACTATTGAGATTAATATCAGTAACTTCCCAGTTTTCTGTATTCTTAATGCACAAGGCTCTTCTTTGGTTTCAGCATCTGAACCACTTCCCATTTTTGGTCATGTTACAAACAGGAAGGCTGGCTGGGGTTTATTTTGTGGGATGTCTGCAGTTCCTTGCCAGAAGTAGTACTTACAAGCTGGTTCATAGCATCCAACAGGATTTTGGGATCCACTCTTAATAGATCATAATGTTTTGTCAGGAAACACTTCAGTCATTTACACAAGAAATTATCAACAGATGAAGTGCCCTCTCCCTTCTACCTCTTGTGACGAGTAAACCCACCTGCATGTGAACCCATCCCTATGCAAATGGGGAGGCTTTGCAGGGCTCTCATCTGAGAAAACAGAAACCTTTCACAAACGTCAGTGAAGGAATAGCTGCAGTTTCTTTCCTCTGTCTACTCTGTGTATAAGCCATGGAGAGTCTGAAGGCCCAGCCATGCCATGAAGAAAAGACACCAGCAGCTTTCATTACTTTCCATGCAGGGTTATGGATGCTCAAACCCTCCCCTGTGTCATTTGGTCAAAGTTGCTTGGTTCCTGGCGTGGTTGGGAGATGAATGCAGACCTTGTTGCTTCCAAACTGCTCCTCCTCCTCTACTCGAGCACGCTTTGCCTGGTTGTTGCTCCCTGTGGCCTCTCTACTAGACTCCAAATGCTTCCCACTGCACAGTGATCTATCTCGCCGCTTATCCGTGTAGTTTTTGTAAAAGAAATTTCATGTCTGGTTTGTATGGTTCCCAATTCCCCATGAGGCCACTTTCCTCAGGGTTATAGGTGGAAACAAGACTTTCTTGTTCCTCAAACGCTTTGCACGTTTTATTTTATTGGTTTTTTTTTTTCCCCTGTTTTTTCCAAAGTGTGCTCTGAAGCTGAAGCCAGCATGAGGAGGTGTATCTGTGTCTCAGTTGATTCCCTCTCCCTTCATCTCTTTGTGACTTCACTTGCAACTAAGCATACTTTCCGTTGCCTCTGTAGCTAGCAAAAGGAGTCTTTGAAATGTGACAGGCAAAAGGGCTCAGACAAAGAACAGATGCTTTATGTAAGTCTACGTAAGCTGCAAAGAGCTATTTCTGAAGTGATGCAGCTGGCAGATTTCTCAGCTGGACTGTTCTTGTGGCTAGCTATCAATTTCGTTCTTCTTTGCTGTATTTAAGAAATTTCATTTGTTGCTCTGGGACTAAAATGAAAATAAAAAAAGACATTTTAAAAGAAAACTGTTCCACTTTGCTGCCTCACATCTGCTTCAGCAGCACGAATAAAAGTGGGGCCAGACAGGACCAGGCAAAGCCTCAGAAAGGCGTGACTGCGGCTGCCTCATGGCTGGCACCTAACTGTTACTAAAATCTGAGTGCAAAGAGTGTTTTCTTCACTTCCTCTTTTGATGCAATTTTTTTTTCAGTTCAGATTCAGGACTTGTGAGATGTGGAGTGCGACAGCATTTCTGGACTGTGAGGATGGTTGTCAAATGTTGCTAACACAGGGAGTCCTTAGAGGAAGAGTTGGAGGTTAGCTAGAAAGTGTCTGTGTGATTTGTTGCACTCTTTTCTGAGAATGCTTGGAAAATTCACACTTTCTGGGCAAAGAGAACTGCGTCTCTGGAACAGCTTTCTCCCCCCCATCTCCCCCACCTTCCAAAAGGATTTGCTATGCAGTTAACTTTTCTGATTGCTCAGCATTTGCTATTTCAGCTCATTTAGCACTTGTAATAACAACACACTGCATCCAAATAATACTTGCTACGCAGTACTCTGATAGTATGAACTATTTGGGAGTAATTCTGTGCTAGTCTGGTGTAGACTAGGGTCAAGAGTCCAGAAAAACAAGGGATCAATAGAAAAGAACTGTTGGTAGAGGGGAGAAGAGATGTGCAGAATCCCTTAACATACCCTGGGCATCCTGCCATAAAATGTCACTGTTTCTGACACCAATAACATACAAAATAAAAGGAGAACACCAAGTGCTCTGTCTGTGTGTGTGTGTGTGTGTGAGGGAACCTCTGCATTAAAAAAATTACTATGAGGGACATCTGAGAGCTGACATCTCTCTTAAATCCCTGCTGTGAGTTCACTCGAGTCAATCTGTTTGCACATTTCAATGGGATGTGGCATGTCCACGTAGCAAGCGCCAAAGGACAAGGTGGACAGTACAAACACAGACCCTAGCGGCTTTTCCAGACAGATCCTATTGTTCTAGGTATACTAAAGGTGCTGATGGACAGAAAAGGAGACACTGCTAAAAATTACCTTTCAGTAACATGTTTACCTTTCAGTAGATCTTTGCATCTGCAGTTTTATTAAAATGTCACTAGTGTACGTCTTGAAACCTCAGTTAGGAAATCCACAACAGAGTCACTTTGTCTCAGCAAGCGCAATGAGTCATGCAGATCTGGAGAATCATCAGAGGAAGAGAGCAGCTTTTGCCTGGTATCTCCAGTCCTCCTCCTCCCTCACCTTAAAGCTGGGAACAATGAGATTGCTCCTGCATCTACTCTTCCTAATGAGTGAGTCTTATCTGTGTATTTATTTTACATATATTAGAAAATAAAAGTCTTAGTCCGGAAACAAAGTAATTTCTGGAGACGCAGACTGGTCCCTTAATGTGAGCCAAAAAAATTATTCTTATGTAGAAAGTTCAGGATGTTTGGACTTGTATCGAAGTCCTTAGTTTGCAATGTGTTTTTCTACTGTTTCAGAGCAATTGATACATTCGGGTGGAGAGAGTTTTATAGTTCATCCTCAGTGGGAGAAAAGTGGCTGCTGGGTGAAATTATACTCGCAAATAGAAAGCTAACAAACTATGTTTGGCCTTCTATAGTTTTTTATTTGTTTGTCTTTTTGCTCGTAGTGAAGTAGGTGAGAGTAAAATGTAGGTGAGATTTTTTTATATTCTTCCCTTTCTAGCGTCCTTGGATTCAGCAGTATGCGCTTTCAGAGGTCTATTTCCCACAAGTTTTTGGCTTGTTGATCTCCTTATCAGGAGCTCTAGAACACGTAGGATTTTTTAGATGAAAATTTAAAAGACCTTTATTTGGGAGTAAGTTTGTGTAAACTAAAGCATAGGTATGGATTAGAAGGAA